GTCGGGCGGGGGCGTGGAACCGATCTACGCTGGGCCTGTGGACCGATCCGCCCCACTGGACGGTAGCGAAGGGACGGTGCGGGAGTGCGGAATCCATGGCGCGTGGTGTGGTGGACTAGTGGCCGCATGCCAGCCGTTTGCGCTGCACGTCGGGTCCCACGCGCCAGTGGGGGCTCGGTTCGCATCTTGCGCTTGTGCCGAGGCGAGCCCGGACAATAGTTTTCGTCCGTCTCGCGGGCCCATCCCACGGGACAATAGTTTAATTGAGGTCCGCGTGGGATGGGGGGGCCGGTTGCTCAACTAGACAACTCCGCCTCCTCCGAGAGCAGGCCACAGGCCAGGCTCTGGCTCACCCCCTCCCCTCCTCGCATCTTCGCCGCCGGCGATCATAATGGCGGCGCCCATGTCCGCCATCGAGTCCGCGTGGCAGGTACCCCACCTCCCGTTCCCCCCTCCCCTCCCCCCCCTTTCTCTCTCTCTCTGTGTTCTCTGCTCTGCTCTGCTCTCTCTCTCTCCGTCCTCATCCCCAGATCTCTGTCTCTTTCTGCTCTTCCTTGCCGGAGCAAAGGTGACGGAAATGAATGCAGGTCCTGATCGCCAACTTCACCGAGTTCCAGCTCGCCACCGTCGTCACCTTCCTGCTCCACGAGACCGTCTTCTTCCTCTCCGGCCTCCCCTCCCTCCTCTTCGAGCGCTTCGGACTCTTCGCCAAGTACAAGATCCAGGTACCCCATGCTTCTTTTTTCTTGTCTTTTTCTTTTTCAGCTACTGCCCAAAACTGCCAGTGCCCACTGCTGCTGCTAATCTGAAAGAGTATCATGCCCGATTTGATCCATTCACCTCTCGGCCAATCAATTATGGTCGCCTAGCCTGCATCCATTGAATGGATGGGTTTTCTTGTCTTCTCAAATCATAATAGTATAGGAATCAAAAGGTAGCAACTTTGCTGGGTAAGGGTAGGAGTAGGGGTAGGGGGGACAAACAGTAAATGGGATGGTAAGGCTGGACTGGGCAAATCGAGATGACACTTTCCTCTTCCGCTTAACACACTGTGGAGGAGGATCCAGTGACTGTTTTCGCTTCTCATAGTGGCCATAAAGACAGGGAAAGATGAAAACGATGCTTCTCATTATTTCCCTTTTCTATAGCCTGCAACAAAGAGTCGGGGTCCTCTCCTTTTCAATTTCCCTTTCTCCCCACAGGGAGAATGGATATCGGGAGAATTCTTTCCCATTGCCCACGTTAGCACGTCTTCTCGATTTTATTTGATTCACACCAGGGACGAAGCCAGAAAAAAAATTAGGAGGGGCTGAATAAAAGAATAGAGGCTTTTTTATCTTCTCTTAACCTTAGCCCCTCCTAACTAATACATATATGCATAAAATTTTAAGAGAGGACTTAGGGGGGCTCCACGTGCCCAGGATCGGTAGGGGGGGCTAGAGCCCTCCCAGCCCCACCGCTGGCTCCGTCGCTGATTCACACATCACAATGTGAGGCGGTCCTTTTGGTCAAAAAAATTGGGAGAATTCTTTCGCTTGCTGCTTTGTTGCTTTCTTCGCTGTTGAGGAAGCAAGGCTGTTTAATCTTGCATATTTTTGGATGGGAGTGTATGATGTCAAACTTTACAATTTATACAAGGGAAAGGGAAACCGTTGAAGATTTGATCTTTACAGCGCTCACCTTGCAATAGTATTGTTTCAGCTGTTCGCACTATACCATATTAATATTCAGTTAATCATTTCTATCCAGATCTTATTTAGCTTTCCTTTAGAATTGGAATTGAGTTATTCCCAAAGAAAACATAACTAAGACCCAGGTCGGCTCAATTAGGCTAGTTAGGGGGTGAGTCTAGGCTTACCACTCGGTGTAACTGTTTCATTCTCTTCCTCTTAATGAAGAAATGCTACAGCATGTTTGAGGAAAAAAAAACACCCAAGGTTGGCTCTTCATTGGCAATAATTTCTCTGCCTCTTCTCTTCAAGATTGAGTGATATTTTGTCCCCCTAGATATTCTGGTTCTTTCACTGAAATGCAATGCCTAGATTTCCCTGTGAAACAGGACATGCATGCTATTAATTCTGTTCCAAGCTCCTAGTGCCCATAAGCAAAGAATGGCTGATCCTTTGTCTCTTTTGTCTTGTCATATAATATTTGATCTGCAATGTGCAGTATGCTTATCTTGCTACTATATTTGGTTCCCTTAACAAAAAAAAAAAAATGTGTGCATTGTTCTATGCAGAAGAAGAGCAACACCCCTGCTTACCAAAACAGATGTGTCTTGCGTCTTATTCTGTACCATGTCTGTGTGAACCTGCCTGTCATGATTTTCTCGTACCCTGCCTTCAGATTCATGGGTCTTAGGAGCTCTCTTCCTCTACCACATTGGTATGCACTCACTCCTCTCTCCTGGCTAAAGCACCTCACGTATTTTAGTTACCTTATTGCTAGTATTCTTCATCTCACTATCTCAGCATGTAAATATGAAAGCACCAATGTTCGAGTTGGAGAAGAAAGGCCTACATATTTCAATCTACTTTTTTGCAGGACGGTTGTTGTATCTCAAGTTCTTTTCTACTTTGTCCTTGAGGATTTTATATTCTACTGGGGGCACAGGGCACTGCATACGAAATGGCTATACAAACATGTTCACAGCGTCCATCACGAGTAAGTGATATTGCTTCATTACATCTTATATTACATGTTGCAACATTTTCTAGTCTATGACAGAACAAATCCTTGCAGGTACGCCACACCCTTTGGTTTAACTTCTGAATATGCCCACCCAGCTGAAATTTTGTTCCTGGGATTCGCCACAGTTGTTGGTCCTGCTCTTACTGGCCCTCATCTGTTCACCTTGTGGCTGTGGATGGTGTTGAGGGTATTGGAGACAGTTGAAGCTCACAGCGGCTATCACTTCCCCTGGAGCCCATCAAATTTCCTGCCACTGTATGGCGGGTAAGTAAGCTAGATCATTGTTTTCCTTTCCCCCTCTTAAAAGGGACTGTGTTTGTTTATTTGAAGCTGAACGTTTTACCGTGTGCTCAACTTTTGTCATGATGAATAGCTCGGACTTCCATGACTACCATCACCGTGTGCTGTACACAAAGTCAGGGAACTATGCCTCGACATTTGTTTACATGGACTGGTGAGGATCCGTTGCATGACTGTGTTGAGTTGTGCAGGGGCTCTAAACTCCGCCATTACGTAAGAAGCTCATTGGTTGTGTTTCAGGTTGTTCGGGACGGACAAGGATTATCGCAAGGCAAAGACCATTGAGGAGAAAGAAGGGAAGAATCTGTAGATTGTGGAAGCTGCTTAGTGAAGACATCAGCAAGACTGGCGATAGAGTTGCGCTCATGGAAAAGGAGATGGATGCACCCTAGAAACAGTCAGTCAGTTATTGCCTTGACGATCGATACTATAGGTTGAGATTTTGATTTCCAGTGTTTGCTATGATCAAGAATGAGGTCCTGGCGACCTTGGTCTGTCATGAACTGAATTTGATAGTTTGTAATCTCCTCTTGGGGGTTTGCTTTGCGTTTGTTTCGACGACTGGGGGTGTATACATATGGGAATGGGATGGCCTGGCAGCAGTGAATTGAACCATCAGAGACGGCGGGAGTAGCTTTGCACCCTAGAAACTGTCCATGAAAGTCTGGGATGGCAAGGATTGATTGCTTGTGTACTTTGTTGGTAAGCGATTCCGGATTTGTTCTCGTTTATATAATTTTCCTGGATCTCTGTATATATTTGCGAGACATTTCCTTTGCATGCTCTGGCTCAGCTCAGTCCTGTATTGTAGCTCGTAGTCCTAGGCTAGGCATGAACGTAACCAACAAACTTGCATCGGTATCTGGAAATCAGCATTGCTACTTGGGGATGTAAGCTTTCAATTATGCTCATTTGTGTCAACATATGCTCTTTCCTGACCGTCGATTTAGAGGACATCAAGCTAACAGTTTAAGTAAAATATATGCCGCAAAAGATTCTAATTATTGATGGACTCTTTTGTGTTAAGCTGTCTCTAGTCTTATTTTCTCCAAAACAGTGGCTAACAACAGAAGTGTGAAAGAAAAGGAAGGAGAAAAGTAGTCTCTCATCTTAACCATTGCCTGTTCAGTGGATAGCTGAGATGCTGGTACTGCATATGTTGCAGTAGCAGTTACAACTGCACACGATCTGCAGTCCAGTCACAGTTTTAAATTTTGGTGCGAGGGAGTCAGACAAGGACAATAGGACTATGGGGCCTAGATTACATGTGATGCCTAAACCCTGTCTGGAAGACAGGTATTATACACAATACATCTGTAAATTACAGGCCAACATGGCCAGGAAAAGCTTTTTCTTGGATCATCCGTCTTCAAAAAAGACTATGTGAATGCCCGTGAGTTCAATGGGAAAAGACACATTTATACACTGCGGTGATATATTCAAAAGTGATGGAGTCACATCGGTATAAATTCTGGTTGAAAAGATTATTACTCTATTGGCATTGAATGACTCATATTGACATAATTGAATTCCTTTCTCCTATGCATCACACACAAAAAATGTTGTTAAATTAGGTTGAAATCCATTGTATGCAATAACACAGTGTCGTCAAATACAATAAACAAGAGCTGTTGCTTAAAGGTGGAATCATATAGATAATTAGAATGGAACCGTTGACTATTCTATTCCAAACGTATAACTAAACAACTACAAACCCTTTACATACTCTTGTGTCCTGTCAAACCGTTTTTGCAGCATCATTCATCTGCTCAATTGTATCTTCACATATGTAATCACTAATTCACCAGAGAACAGTGCTACGGTACTCCTCTTCCTTGCTGATATATGACATGCCTCGGTGACAATGACACATTGACACCACAGCCAATTCAGCTTCAATGCCACCCATCGTCGTGCAGCAAGTGCTTGGACCTTGCCATGGACCCAGGTGTGCTGTCCTGCAGAGCTTCATTATTTTCTTCTTTCGCTTCATCGTGTTTTACACTAACTCATCCATGGGCAGCTGCAAGGCCGCGGCGTTCGCCGAGTTCGACGCAGAGGTACGCGAAGGAGCCCCCGGCCATGGGGATCTCGACGGCGAACTCGGTGCAGCAGGTGACGGAGAAGCCCAAGGCGATGTAGGAGAGCACGATGCCGGCGTGGTCGTGCGCCTCCTTGCCTGCGCCCTCGTGGTACTCCGGCGAGGACACCTCCGCGGGCACCATGGCCGCAGCTCGCGGCCTGCAGTGCAGGGGCACGGAGCACGCCTCTGCACGCTCCCGCTGCAGAGCACTGAGTGCGGCCACGGACTGTAGGAGGTCGGCACAGCTTATGAAGGTGGAGGCCGAAGGAGGAAGAAGAAGGTACTGTTAGTTGATCTCCACCAATAGGCCCCTTTGTCTCTGCTCCCTGATCGGGGGAGCCCAACCCTAATACGGTTAGTGGGCCCCTGTCGCACAGCACACATAAAAGAAAGGTGGGGATCAAGGCTCGGAGTACGAGGTTCACTAGAGCCGCCATCCCACCCACAGAAAACCCTAATCCGATCCTAAAGAAGTGCTGCTAGCGACGGGATGTCCCACCGCACCGCCGTCGCCCCTGCAGGTCTACACCGGGCCACTGGACTTCACCTCCTCGCCACTATGACGTCTACTACACCGCGGCATCGGCGTCCACGCTTGCCGATGCGCCGCAGCAGAGAAAGGCGAGGAGCCTTCCCGGATCTACGGTTACACACAGAGAGGTAATCATCGATCCTAACAATGGTATCAGAGCTAGGTTGCCTCTATGTAACCCTAACCCTAATCAGGTAAAAGAAGAAAGAAAGAGTGATCGGGGTGGCGGAAGTCACTGTCTACCGGTCACCACCGCCACCGCGCGGGGGGAAAAGATGGCCGCACCGCTGTTCTACACTAGCGCACGGCAAGAACAGAAAAGATCCGTGTTCGGATCAGAGAAGAAGAAGAGAAAAGAACCGAACACATCCTTTTGGATCTAAACAGAGAAGGGGTTCCCTAACCCTAACCCTAACTAGGTTAAAGAAAGGGGGAAAAGAAAAGGTTTCGGCCTTAAGATGAACAGAGCCGAAATCCTAACCCTAGAATGAATCAGCATCCCTAACCAGTTGAATCCGAGAAGAAAGAAAGTAAATCCAAAGAAAGAAAAAGAACAGGGGTCGGAACCAAACCCTAACCGGATGAACAAAAAGAAAAAGAAATCAAAAGAACAGAAAACCGAATCGGCCGAATCGAATTAAAAAGCGAAACCCTAACCCTAATTTTGACCCCATCCCCACCACGGGTTAATCCCAGAAGAGAGAAGGGGACGGGGAAGAAGGGAAAAAGGGGACGGACCCACCTTCGCCGGCGCGGGAGAAGAAGAGCCGAACCGGCCCTTCGCCGGCGCGGGAGAAGAAGAGCCGAGCCCGGGGGGCGCCGTGGCCAAGCCGCTCGACAGCGGCGTGCTCACCCGTTGGGGAGCACGCGCGTCGGCGAGGGGGCCGGCGATGGCGCCATGCTCGCTCCACCGCCCGCTCGCTCGCTGTCTCACTCTCGGTCGCTGCTGGATGCGCTGAGGAAGAAAGAACGGCGCGAGAGAGGAGTGGAGAGCGGCGAAGAGAGAGAAGCAGAGCGGCCAAATGACCTAGGGTTTCCGGGAGGAGGCCGCGGCTGCGGTTTTGTTCGCGCGAAATCGACGCGCAGCCATCGGATCGACATGAACGGCCGAGATTGATCGGGCCATCGCCAGCTCAGGCGGGCGCGCGCGGCAGCGCACTTTGCCGGCCCAGGCCCAGGTTGCGGCCTGCGCGCGCGCGGTGAGCTGGGCCAAGCTGGTTTTTGCCGTTTTGGGCCGCCGAGAGTAAAGAATGAGCCCGTTTCGCATTTTTCTTTTTCCTGGAAAATTGAAAATGTAAATTGGCTCAAAAGAAAAATAGAAAAAGTAAATTTTTTCTGTGGGTAAAATTCAAGTAATTGAGTTATTTTTTTCGCTGCTAAAGAAAAAGTATATTCTTAAAGTTTTCCAGTAAATGTTTATTTCCTGGAAATTGATTAATGGATTAAAGGAAATAGAAAAAGCAATTTTCCCTGTGGGTAAAATTCAAGAAAAAGAGAGTTTTTCCACAGCTAAAGAAATTGTTTATTCTTTAGTTAATTTGTACCAACGTGATATTTAATTGGAGAAAAAGAAAGTTTTTTTCGCTGCTAAAGAAAATGTTGATTCTCCAGTTATTTTGAACCAATGTGGTATTTAATTGGAGAAAAAAAGATTTGACATGATTATGATATTGTTATTTTCTAACCAACGTTGTTAATAACAATATCATAATTTTAATGATTTATGCATTAATTCTACTTCTGTCCAACGGTGATGTAGAATTAGTGTATAAGAAAAGTTGGTAATTTTAATGATTTATGCAGTAATTCTACTTCTGCCCAACGGTGATGTAGAATTAGTGTATAAGAAAAGTTGATAATTTTAATGATTTATGCATTAATTCTACTTCTGCCCAACGGTGATGTAGAATTAGTGTATGAGAACAGTTGTAAAAGTTAATGATTTATGCATTAATTCTATTTCTGCCCAACGGTGATATAGAATTAGTGTATAAGAATAGTTGTATGTTTTGATTTTGACCAACGTTGGAATCAAGACATGCAAATGGTGTTATTTTTATGATAAGAAAAGTTTTGACCTAGTTTTCATCTTGTCTAAAGTGGACTGGGTAGTCACCTCACCGTGTTCCACTGAGTTTGTGGCACCAGTGAGGGAGACAAAAGAGAATGATGCCACTTGGGCAACTAAAGTGAGGGATTTTGAATCCCAAAAAATAGTCCTATGACTTTTGTGCATAGAAAGTGGGTCACTGCCAACAAGAAATATTTTGGCTATGATAAAGAACATGATTGAACCTACAATTGTGGGGTCAATCCCAGAGTGTGACACAGTCATCGAGTACCTCGATAGAATAAAGAGTCAGTTCACTGGCTCTTCAAAGACATATGCTACCCAGCTGATAAAGCAGCTGGTGACAGAGGGTAACTCTGGAAATGGTGGCATAAGAGAGCTCACGATGCGTTGTCGAAATTATGGCACTGTCGTTTAGGCCATATTTTGAGGGAGAGAATAGAAAGACAAGTTAAGAATGATATTCTTCCTCCATTAGAGCTCTCAGATTAAGAACAATGCAAGGAATGCATAAAAGGAAAGTATGTAAAGAAGATTAAGAAAGATGACAAACAAAGTGTAGGAATTTTACAGATTATTCACATAGACATCTGTGGTCAACTTTCCTGTAAAGAGTGTGGATGGTTATGATCTGTTCATAACATTCACAGATGATTACTCCCATTATGGCTATATTTATCCAATCAAAGAAAGAAAAGATGTATTGAATAAATTTAAGTTATTAAAGATTAAGATAGTCAGGTCTGACCGTGGGGGAGTACTACGGTCAGCATACCCTAAAAGAATGGCATAGGAGTCCAGTATTCTACATCGAGCAAACCTCAGCAGAATAGAGTAGCTAAAAGAATCAATCGCACCCTGATGGATATGGTGGACAGTATGATAAATTACTCCACCTTACAGTTAAGCCTATGGATGGAGGCATTAAAAACCGCCATTCATATTCTCAATAGAGTATCAAGAAAGTCGGTGCCCAAAACACCGTATGAGTTGTGGATAGAAAGAGTACCCTCACTAAATCACTTGCGTGTGTGTGGGGGAGCCCTGCTGAGGCTAAAGTATTTAACCCAAACATTAGGAAGTTAGATCCCAAAACAGTAAGGTCCCATTTCTTTGGCTACCCAGAAAAGTCAAAAGGTTTTCGTTTCTACTGTCTAGAGGGACTGACAAAGTTTATGGAAACGAGACACGCTGTCTTCCCAGAGGATGAATTGATAAGGGGGAGCATGCTAGCTTGAGAAATTGACCTTAAAGTGAAGCGGGTGTATGCGCCCACTCCAATGATTCATGAGCCAATTTTCTCACTGCCTGTTGTCGCTGCACCGATAGTGCAAGAGACTATGGTGTCAGCACCTGTTGTTATCCCACCTGTGGCAACAATGAATGACGATAAGGAACCTGTTCTTTAGGATTCTATAGAACCTATTGCCACACATGAGGGGGAGCAACAACAACCTCAAACAGAAGATGTGCCAAAAGTAGAGGCCCCTAGAAGATCTCAAAGAGTTAGAAAATCAGCTATTCCTGCTGATTATGAAGTGTACAACACTGAGAAATTTTAAATGGAGGATGATCCCACCTCATTTGAAGAAGCCATGAGAAGTGATCATTCATCAAAGTGGCTTAAGGCCATGGAAGATGAAATGAAATTAATGAATGCCAATAAAGTTTGGGACTTGGAAATAATTCCTAAAGGAACCAAAACAGTAGGCTGTAAATGGGTCTACAGAACAAAACTTGGCTCTCAAGGGAATATAGAGAAATATAAAGCGCGACTTGTGGCAAAAGGCTATATGCAAAGAGAAGGGATTGATTACAATGAGACATTTTTTCCAGTCTCATATAAAGTTTCCTTCAGAATCATAATGGCATTAGTGGCACATTATGATTGAGAATTACATCAGATGGATGTAAAGACGACATTTCTCAACGGAGACTTGGAGGAAAATGTTTACATGGCACAACCAAAAGGTTTTGTCATGGAAGGAAAAGAACGAATGTGATGCCACCTAAAGAAATCCATTTATGGATTAAAACAAGCTTCAAGACAGTGGTACTTGAAGTTTGATCAGACAATAAAGAATTTTGGGTTTTAAAGAGAATATAGAGGACAATTGTGTCTATACAAAGTAAAGAGAATGTAGAGGACAATTGTGTCAATACAAAGTTTAAGAATGGGAAGTTTATCTTCCTTGTCCTATATGTAGATGATATCTTACTTGCTAGTAGTGATGTTAGTCTACTACTGGAGACAAAGAAATTTGATATGAAAGATCTTGGCGAAGCCTCGTTCGTTCTAGGGATCGAGATTCACTGAGATAGAAGAAAAAGGGTATAAGGACTGTTACAAAAGGCATACATGGAAAAGATCTTAAAGAAATTCAGTATACACAAATGTAGTCCCTCACTGAAAGGTCCTAATATGGCTAGAGGGGGGTGAATAGCCTATTTAAAAATCTATAAATCAACTAGAGCAATTTGATTAGTATGACAAATAGCGTAATGCAAACTTGCTCTAGCTCTACAAGGGTTGCAAGCC